CATAGAAATCTTTGTGACTTCGAGAGTATACTTAATCTAGCTAAGAGACTCTCTGTCACGAAAGAACACCAATCATATTCTCCAAGACATTTAACCATACTTAGAGTAAAGTTAAGTATGGGATTGATAGTATTCACAGAATTCACACAAATTAATTTTTGTCAGATCCATTGATAAAGTCATTCTTTTGAGCTAAGTATGAATGGTCACATTTCAGCTATAAGACTTTATTATTCTAGAAATGGGCTTTTGATTTGGATTTGATATTTGGATATTGGAACATTATAACAACAACTATTAGATAATGTTATGATATATTGGGATATAGTTATCACATTAATACTTGTTGTGTTATATATTAACATGTTTAATCCATGAATAATGTAATTATTCTAAAGGTTCATAGTTGGTTATAATTGTGGGAGCAATTATAAAGTAAGACTAATATGAATTAGATTGGTTGACTCTCACTAGATGAAAGTAGGCAAGTGGTTGTAATCAAGTTTCATAGATACTTGTTTGAGAACTAGTATTGAATTGACCCGCATCAAGATCATCTTATGGATCGCTATCATGAATGATACTTGATTAAAAGGCACTATCTTTGTATCTGTAACACCTGAGATACATATTGGGACTTAAGTGTAGGGAGTATTATGCTTTGATATGGTCAAATGTTGTTCCTTAACCGGGCAGATATAAAATCCATTTTTAGGTATGGTGTGAACTCTACAAGAGTCTTATGTAGTCAATATGGGATTTGTTCCTCTTATGTGTTGACAGTTAGACATCTATGGCGCCTTACCAAAAGTTGAACAACTAATGAGATTGATCGCGATCCGTATCTCATGTTCAACATGATGTCTGTAGCAAATGGATAACTGATAAACTTACCTTATATACTAATTGTAGCTTTGACCTTTTTGGGAATTGGGCATTGATAGAATGGCAAAAATTCGTATGTTGTTGGGGGCAATGAAATATTGCTAGACGTTCACCATTGTCTATATCAGTCTTACATGAGTCTTACGCAAGTGGGAGATTGAAAGGTCTAGTATGCTCAAGAGTCATATTAAAGTGAAATTGCTAATCAACATATGATACTAATGGGTCACACTAACAACAACTTGATATAATTGATTATTTATTAGAAATTAATTTTAATAAATATTCAATAAAACTCTTATAATTAAATTGGAAATTATTTATTTCATGGAAATAATAATTTTTATTAGCAAGTAATATTACATAATTCATATGGTATGAATTAATAAGTTGTGTACAACTTTTTGGACTAGTTGAAACCCTTTTGTCTTTTACTCAAAAGACAAAGTCTACATTTTATAAAATGTGAGTTTATAAAATTTAAACTAACTCTTCTTTTTATATATATAATTCCGAAAATTAGAGGAAAAGAAAGGAGTCATGGGCTTTCCATTAGTTTATTCAAAAGAAATGAAGCATGGGAGTCATGTTTATGACATAAGGACATATGTGCTTAAAGTGTTAAGACCTAATGGTTAATACTTTCAATTTATATATATATATATATATATATATATATATATATATATATATATATATATATATATATATATATATAAGAGGCTTGCATTCTTGAATGGTTTGCTCCATTCCTCCATCTTAAAACCGTAACATGCTTAGATCATGTTACTCTCTCCCTTTTGTTCTTTTCTTCAAGAATACTTGCATCCTCATGCCTTCTTTAAGTTCATATTGGTTATGAACTTAAAGCTTAAGAGTTTAAGAGTTTTGGACTAGCATCTATATCAAGTTGAGTCATTGTTGTTGTCTCAACGATTCCACATTCTTCATCAACTTCCAAGCCTCCCAAGAGGACCCAAAGAACTACAAAGGTTGTTATTTTTTAATCCTTTCTATGGTTGGTGTTTTTAATCTTTCTATAACTTGCAAGAAGATCCTTGGTGGGTATAAAATGTTTATGTTATTTCAAAATTAAAGTCTTCCGTTGCCATATTTTTTTAGTTTATAAAGCTATTTTTGAACTAAAGCCCAACATCTCGATCGCAATAGGGTGTATCCTCATTATGAATAAAGAAAAAGTTACATGGATAGGAGTTCCATGTTGATTTTAATTATAGTTACACTATAGGGTCATGATACATTGTTTTTCGGGGAACCACATATGAAGATGCTTAAATGATTAGTTCATTTATGACTATGAGTAATCCCATTACGTGATACTAGTATCTAACTCATGTTTAAGCATCTAAAACATTCTTAAGTGTTTTCTTTACATACGGGACATATATATATATATATATATATATATATATATATATATATATATATATATATATATGAAAAAAAATGTTAATATACAAATATTATACAAATCAAGTTTGTCAAATCTACTTAACAAATTTCCTTCATTAGTAAAAGCATGAATGTCACGCTGGTACTATAGGAACTTGTTGTTCTAAGTGGATATATTTGATTGAAATGTAGTATTTGGATATTGGAACGATATAAACAACATATTTTGTAATGACTTGATATACTAGATATAGTCTTTTCATTAAATAATCATTGTGTTCTATATTAGCATGTTTAATCCTTAAATAACATGGTTATATAGTCGTTCTTTATTGTGGGAGCATCTATGAAGTAAGACTAATATGAATGGATTGGTTGATTTTCACTGTTATGAAAATAGCAAAGAGTTTCTACCAACTTCATAGATACTTGATTAGGGAATAAGTATTGGACATGACCCATATCAAGATCACTTCATGGATAGTAGTCATGAGTGATGTTTTAATAAAGATGGTATCTTTGTATTCTTCGACTTGAGATACATATTATGGAATTAAGTATAAGGAAATATTGTGCTTTGACATGGTTCAACATTGTTCGTAACCGTACAACTATAAAGACCATCATTGGGTACAAACAAACTATGAAAAAGGTGTATGTCGTCAAGAAAATATTTGTTTCTCTTATTCGTTGAGAGTTAGACATCTAAGGCCTTACTAAAAGTTAAACACCATAAAATATTGATTGCGATTCATGTCTCATGTTCAACATGATGTATATGGCAAAGGAATAACTGACACCACACCTTACAACCAATTATGTCTTTGGAGCACTTGGAAATTGGTATTTGCTAGATGGAACCTCTTCGTGCATTGTTGGGGGAATTGGTCTATTGTTAGACGTCAACCAATGTCTATGTCAATCTACAATGAGTCTTGTGCAAGTGGGAGATTATTGAATCTATATGCTCAAGAATGATCTTTGTCAATAACATATGATTCTATAGGGTCACACCTTTAGCAAGTTGTCACTTATTGAATATTTATTATTAATTTGATTATTATTAAATAAATATAACTCTTGTATTTAATTAGGAAATAAATATTATTTTATGAAAATAATGTTTTCTAAGGAAGCTACTAACTATTATTTCATATGATATGATTTAATATGTCATGTACAAAGTTTTGGAATCTTTAGAGTTCATTAAATAAAATAATTATACTTTGTACATGTATTAAATAAGTATAAGTGTAATACAGTCAAAATGGTCCCACTCCTGTCCTTATGGATGAAATCTTGGGTGAGAGGTGAAGCTTGCTTGCAAGCTTCCCTCTTACACACTCCATACAGTCTAAACACCTTACCTTTGACTTATGTAAGGGTATGATTCTTAGTAGTTGTGTGTAAAAACATAAAGAGACCAAAGGCTTCTCTTTTGAAGTTAGTTTTTGAATCTTTTTCTCTCTTCCTTTCTAGAAGTCGTAGCTACTTCTCCCTCCCCTTCCCTTGCTATCTTTTGAAGTATAGTGAGAAAATAGTGCTTAGAAGTGCTTCTTCTTTAGTACTTCATTGTGATAAGTACTTAAAGGCTTACGAAGTACTTCATATAAGATGAGAACTAGCATTCTTGGAGACTTATACTTGTCAGTGGATACATTATAGAGAAACTCTATTTTTTGAGTTTTTGCCATCTTATTAACTCCCCAAAACCAAGTGGGATCAAAGTCTTCAAAGGTTATATTTTTTAAATCATATGGTTGTCATAATCTTTCTAGTTCATGTAATTGGATTCTCTTGGTGGTATTGTTAAAATGGTCTAAAAATAAACTAGTTGTTTTTAAAGTTTTCCGTTTACCGCTTAAAATTGTTTTATAAAAAAGATCGGTTTTTAGCTTCACAAAACCCATTACAACATACATATCATAAATAATTTCTCATAATAAACATTTACTCCTTAAAACATTTAGTATGAATTAATATCACACTCTTATCATTTTTCAATTTTCACATAAGCACACATTACTTACTCTTATAAAGAGTATCTTTAAGCATAATTCTTAATAACATCATCCATGTATCCCTAAGAAAAGTTACATATAACTCACATTAATAGTAGTGAAAACTAACTATCACCTTGGTTTCTCGCCTTCACGTGGTGCACTTGATCAATTCCCTTGCCAAAAACTATTCAAGTGGCACATTAAGCCCTTTAACAACATGTCTTAATCCATAAATAACTTATTTCCAACCCATATTCAATATAATAATTCACTTGATCACATAAACTTTTCATTTATATATTGTTTCAACAAAACTAATTATGCTCCATGAAATATCTCATATATATGACTTATTTCATTAAGTCATAAGCTTAATTTCAAGTTTCCAACAATTTCAATAAGTTAGGGTTTGAGCCTTTCACATTAAAATCCACAAATTTCATTAAGTAATAAGTTTAATTTCACTATGGCTTCACCATACAAACTTGAAATCACAACCTCCATACCTTTTACAACATCATATAAGAAACTCTAGGAATTTAGACTAAGTTCTAACATGTAACATCCCAAAAATTCAACAAATTTAAAACTTTTCAGACAACCCTTTTGTCTAATAGAAGTTTTACAAAACCATTGTTTTCAAAACATTATTTAAAATTAGAGTCTCCCAAGATCAAATCAGTTGAAAATCAAGGATGTGTACGGTCATGCCTTCGCCTTGCCACGGTCCACTGAAGTACCTGAAACCATAAACCAAAACTGTAAGCACAAAGCTTAGTGAGTTCCCCCCAAAATACCACCACACAACAGATAACATATACAAACAACAACATGCATACAGAGCCTTCAGCCTGACTGGAACGCCCCACCGACCTATAGTATATCTAGTACGCTCACATAACCTTCAACATGACTGGTACGCCTCATCAGCCCTTCAGTCTATCTGGAACGTTCTCCGGGCCTTCGGCCTAACTGGTACGCCCCTCAGGAATGCAGTCTATCCGGGATGCCCTGGTTCTCTTGGACTTCAGTCTAAATTGGTCCGCCTCAACACAACCACACACACCATGTCAGCATATACATATCCAATACACATATAAGCCCAGTAAACCATAACAAGATTTCGATATAAACATTAACGAGTTTGCTGACTGTCAGCACAAAGCAACACAGTCTCAACCCACCCACACTACGACTACATATACCACAGATAAACATATACTTAGGAAGCGGATTAGAAGAAGATCTACCGATCAGTAAGCATGGAATCATCCTATATAATAGGGTACAGATCTAACAGATCACTACAACATACCAACATGCGATAAACCATGATAACAATCCAATGGGCCAGCCTTGGTGCCTTCGACCCACAAGCACAATGAGGAAAACTCACATCTCGATCTGATCCATAGCTGATGAGGTCCCGACTCCGAATCTCAGCTCCAACCAACACCTATCCATCCAAGTGATCAATATCCATCAAAATCCCAAAGTACCAAAATACCCTTGAGGTAAAACTTGGTCAAAGTCCATAAGTAAACTGAGTCAACCCAACCGAGTCAACCTAATTGAGCCAACTCGACCGAGTCAACCCAAACTGTGTACGCGGGGCAGAGGTACACTGGGTGTACACGAGGCATCACAGGTTGACCACCATCGGGGTGGTTGACCTCGTGCGCAGTACGTACTCCGAGTACGTGGGACGTACCCTCGCAAGCCTAAAATCCATTTTAAGAGCTTAATGGCTTAAGCTCTTATGTCCAAACTTCAGATCCATGGCCAAAATACTCTTAGGAGTCATAAAGTCTCCAACTTTATGACTTAACATGTCCATTAAGTGCTTAACACAAGGTATTATTCCATTAATACATCCCACAAGATGCATGAATCAAAACTAACCACTTGGAACCCATTTTTATGACTTAAGACCCCTCCTAGGGTCTGAAAGGACAACTCAAAGGTCAAGAACATGCCATATTCAAGATCTAACATTTTAGGACCCAAAAAGCTTCATAAAACCACCAAAAATAGATCTATGAGATAAAGAGATAAAGTTGCAAGATTTTTACCTTATAATGGTTGCAAATGATGTAGGAATCCCAGATCCAAATGTTCTACTCCTTCAAGATGAGCTTGTCTCCCTTCCTTCTTCTTCTAAGGCACCAAAAACATACTTCTAACCTTGAAAAGGCTCCTCAAGGTGGTTCTAGGGTTGCACAAACAAATGAGAGGGATGGAGGCAACTAAAGTGGGTGAAATGAGGCCATAAGAGTGCTTAAATACCAGCCAAACCCTAAAAATTAGGGTTTCCTCATTTAGCAGGTATGTCCAGCGTACTAGGGCGTGCCCTAGTCCGCTCAGCGTACACCACGCACGCATGGCGTACTCCGAAGACCCAATATTACAACAATGCCACTAGGGCTCCTTTTGCATACTTTATTGAACTTAGGGACCAAAACGCTATAATCCTCAATATAAGAATCAACAATGGAAGTTCTTCAAAACTAGATGTTACATAACAATTCCTCCAAACCCCACCATCAAAGTTTGTTTAAGCTTAAAAAGGAGTATATTACCTTGAGTTCAAAGTGGGGGAAGCTTAATCTTTGATCCCCTTGAAATCCCTTCAAGAGTTTAGCTCCACAACATTAAAATCGCCATTTAGAAGCCCCAGAGCTCAAGGGATTTCTTTAGAATAATGAGGCCAAATGACGTACCTTATCTTATTAAAGATCTTATCTTGTTGTAAACCGTGTTACTCACGTGCGTTCGTCATATCTCCCTTCTTAGATTACCATTATACTTTGAACATGTCACGTAATACCCTTATTACATGTCACATTTTACTTAGTATGATGCCAATTTCAGATATACCACTGTACTTTGCCATTTTCATCAAAAGGCCATTATATGTCGTGTACCTGTAACCTTATGCGACACATTCTACATTCTTTGGTGTCTTAGTCTAACATCATACTTTTGAACACGAAACGTTTCTCCCAAAGTACACATCGCGTTCACATTATACAATGCCTTTTTATATAATAGCAACATATATCACCGTGTGAAGTCAAAACAACCTCTATGATACACTTAACTCCATATTACATGTTGTGTAACCTGGGATTAAGTTTTGGTACCTAACCAAGTTTCCATCTTCACCCAACAATCCATAGTACACAACTAAATGACTCGAATCAATTCCTAACAATTCTAATAACAACTTCTAAATATCATTTTAACATATAATAAGGTAATAACCAAACCATTTCATAATTTTTTGTCAATTGGAATAAATTACCCTTTTACATCAAAATTTAATGCAACACTTAAAATTAAAATTTTAGGTATGTTACATTTTCTAATCTCCTTATTGCTAGATCAAGCATTATAACAACATGCTTTCACCTTTTATAAGGGTTTATTTTTCAAATTATGAACAAAACCATATTGCCTTATATGGAACACACACAAAGGGACTTAATGGGGCCATATAAGGACTGTTATTGTAATACCCATTTGGTAAGGATGTATTATTAACCGTGTGTGCACGTAATACAACTATTAGGATGTGTCTGCGAATAATGAGCCTTGGAAATACCCATGAGAAAATGGTAAAGGTTGAAGCGTGAAAGTAGGTTGCTATAATGGTGAATGCAAAGCATATATTGCGTGTTGTTTTGAAGATGGATGATGTATACTCTTTGGTATATGGAAGTATAAATAAAAATATAATCATTTTAGCGTAAATATTGTGAAAGAAAGTTGTAGACTTAAATACGAATGCATGAATATAAAGATTGTCAAAGTCCGAGTTCTTATGAAGTAGTTATGGTTGTTTGAAGTTGAGGTAAGAATCTATGCGGGAACGCAAAGTCACGGAGCGACCACGCTGCAAACTTAAAAAATAGAAAAATGAGTTATGTTTTGTCATTTATGATTTCTCTCTAAAAAATACACACATTAAGGTGAAATTACACGTATTAGAGCTAGAACAAGGCTTGTAGCAAGGGGATTTCAAGTGCATGTGCATTATTCCTTTAAATCAAGGTAAGAACTCATAATCTTAGCATCTAGCTCTTGATTTTATGGTGAAATGTTGTGGTTTTGTTGAATCTAAGAGATAATTATGAAAATGTTAGATGGAGATTATGTTCATAGGTATTATAACAACCACTATAACCTTAAGATCATGCATGCATGTAGTTTTTATGATAAGCCCAATGTGGTAATCTCTTGCATATATGGATTAAGATCATAGAATGATAGATTAAGTGATTGTAACATGTCAAAAGTTGTTATAATGACTGAATGTAGAAGTTATTAAGAAGTTTAAGGGCTGAATGAAATCAGAATCGAAGGTTCTATGTTCGTCGCCTTCACGACGCGATGGTTGAATGTTAACGACGCGAATAACCAACTGGGCAGAACCATGTTTTCTGATTAGAATGTACATATGACAAATATATGGGAACTGATTAATGGAGTTCTAATATATATATATATATATATATATATATATATATATATATATATATATATATATATATTTCAAAATACCATTTCAAGAAGCTTGGTGTAGCAAATAGTTATGTCCGACTAACACGGGAGTAATAAACAATTATGTTTGATATTTTATGGTGTAACAGATTGTAGGGTTATAAAGTTGCAGTATGATCATTGGTTATGGTTACTAAAGGATGATACGAGAGACCAAAAACGATGAATAGATGGGTACCCACCTATCAATGTGCTTCCATCCATATAGAAACAACAAAATGAGAAATGGATGGATGGATATCACCAATATAGATGGAAATAGATATACATTGGGTGATTTTTTGGTGACATCACCTAATATGGTAGTTAGGGATACTACTCATTTCATATAGATGAGTCGCAAGACAAGTACGTAGTGATGGTAGAATACATTAATTATATAGTATGGTAGTTGTAGTATCACAAGTCGTATGTGGATTGTGTGATAAACGTGGTAGCATAGTATCACAAGTCATATGTGAAATGTGTGCTAGACATGGTGATGTGGTATCATAGGCCGAATGCAGCCTGTGTGATAGATGTAGCATAGTATCATAGGTCGGGTGTAGATTATGTGATAAACGTTGTAGTGTTGTATCCAGATGTAGAGTGTGGTAAAACATGGTAGCGTAGTATCACATGTCGGATGTGGACTGTTGTTATAGATGTGGTAGTATAGTATCACAAGGTTGGATGTGGACTGTGTGAAAGACATTGTATCATAGTATCACGTCGGATGTGGACTTTTGTGATAAACGTGGTGGCATAATATCATATGTCGGATGTGGATTGTTGTGATAGACGTGGCGGCATAGTATCATGTCGGATGTGGACTACATGTCCGATTTGGACTGTGTGATAGACGTGGTAGTTGTCGTATCATTAGTTAGATGTTGACTATAGTGATAGATTTTGTGTAGTACTACTACTAGTGGTTGGGGGTTAACCATTGTAGTAGCTTTGGTAAAAGGGCACTTGGGGGATTGGATTGAAAATGCATTCATGTATTTTGCACAGACAAGGGACCAATAGCACATTTTCGTCCCATCCTTTTTTGATGTTTCAGGCCCAAACCAAGATATACAAAGTACAAGGCTATCATGTTAGTCAAAACCAATATCATGAACCAAAACCATTCAAGAACTCAGGACCAATCTGTCACTTGTTCAAAGTATGTTTCCATCCACAAATATAATGTAATTGCCTCTTATAGAAAAGAACAAATCTTGGGCATTCAATAACTTCAAAGAGAGACACAACCCTTATTAGAAAAAACAAGGCAAAGGAAAACTTGAAAGATTGACTATGATACAAAAACCTGTGTGTTTCAATTGGATGCCTCACGGCTGTAGAAGGCATCAAGGGTTTTGGCGGGTATACGGTGAAGAAGTTCACGGGGGAAGATCCGCAGAAGTGTCCATGCTAAATCAAGCGACTGGAAGATGTTCCGGGTGTCGTACGCCCCTTGAGCCACAAATTTCCTCTCAAATTTGTCCAGAAACTCCAAATATAGCTGTGTTCCATTTATACAAACAATTTGTTATAATTCTATATATATTATCTAAACGTAAATGTGTGTGTGTGTGTGAGAGAGAGAGAGAGACCAAATCCTCAGAAGAGAGAGCCTCTTCTCCAACCACAGCTTTCATCGCCTGGACATCTTTTCCAATGGCATAATTTGCATATAGCTGAATATACATAAAAGTAACAAACGATTAATACAAAGTTTATTTGAGTATTTTTAGCAGGGAGAAAACATGGGGAATTTAATTCTGTAATAAATTGAAGTAGCAAACCAAATTCCAAATGCAGGATTGGAATGGAATTGTAGGGGGTGGTTTGTATACATTACATACATAACAAAGAGTGAGAAATTTCACCTGATTAGAGACATCAGAATGGTCTCGACGAGTCATACCCTCACCAATAGCACTCTACAAGAATACAAACTTGATTTAATAGAATCCTATAAATTAAATTCTTAAGTAAGAAGATAATATCATATATGAGGTAAAAACTTTGACCTTACCTTCATCAATCGAGATAGGGATGGAAGCACATTGATAGGTGGGTAAATCTACAGATACAATTTACAAACAAGTAAATTTTAATCTTAAAAAACAAGTGCAGGAACAGAAAGTTGAGTTTAGAATCTGACTGACCTGTCTGTTATGGAGCTGTCGGTCGATGTATATCTGTCCCTCAGTAATGTAACCCGTAAGATCCGGGGTGGGATGTGTAATATCTAATGATGACCAAAAAGTTTAAAGAAAGCAGTGAGAAGTGAAAAAACAAACAAACAAACAAGGCTAAAAAGGTCAAAATAATAATAAGAAATTAGGACCATCATTGGGCATAGTCAGAATTGGGATTTGAGTGATGGAGCCTTTTCTGCCTTCAATACGTCCAGCACGCTCGTATATTGTTGCCAAATCCGTATACATATACCCAGGATACCCTCGCCTACCAGGTACTTCCTCTCTAGCGGCAGAGACCTGCAATTGACAGACAGAACAAGGGTATAATGGTCATTAAATGCTTTCAGAACACCTAAATGAAAATGCATATTTGCAAAAATAATACCTCTCGAAGGGCATCGGCATAGGAACTCATGTCAGTTAAGATAACAAGAACATGTTTCCCGCATTCATACGCCAAATATTCGGCTGTGGTAAGAGCAATACGGGGAGTAATGATGCGCTCAATCGTAGGATCATTGGCCTGTAAATGTAAATGCAAAACAATTAAAAAAAAAATCAATCTTATCTTGTAATTGCAAATTAACAAATAGTTACTTACCAGGTTCAAAAAAAGAGTCACTCTCTCCATTGATCCGTTTTCCTCAAAATCACGTTTGAAGAATTGTGCAGTTTCCATGTTCACTCCCATAGCTGCAAACACAATAGCAAAGTTGTCCTCTTCTCCCCCACCCTGTCATTGTAACACCCCAAAACAGCGGAATCAAATGTCGAATGAGAATGCCCTCCTTTAGGCTATTTTATTTTTTGCTGATGAGGGAGGACGAGGAGGGTATTCATGTCTTTTGCAGAGAAAAGATATAGGAGAATATTTGAAAGTAAGTATTACCTCAAGCAAATTTTGTGTTTTCTCCAAGCGTTTGACCAAACCAGCTTGACGACAGATTTGTGCAGCTATTTCATTGTGGGGAAGTCCAGCAGCAGAAAACAGAGGAATCTTTTGTCCTCTAGCAATTGAATTCATCACATCAATTGTTGAGATACCAGTCTGTATCATTTCTTCTGGATATGTTCTCTCACTAGGATTGATAGAACTTCCTGAAACAATATAAAAGTGTTCATAAATTCAACAAGCAACCCTAGTTTACTTTACACACACCAATGGAATTTTTACAAAAAAAAAAAAAAAAAAAAAAATGCTACCAGAAATATCGAGGTAGGCCTCTGGCAAAATAGGAGGACCATTATCAATTGGTTTCCCAGAGCCATTAAATATACGCCCAAGCATATCCATGGAAACAGGAGTTTTCAAAACCTGCACATCTCAGAATCACTTTATTAATAAAAAGAACAAAATGCATTTTTTCATCAACAACTGATTTAATGTACCTCCCCAGTGAACTGAACAGTGGTGAATTTATTGTCAATTCCAGATGTTCCTTCAAAAACCTGCTCAAGATAACAATGAAATATGCATTTGGTGGGAATTTAACAATAAAGTGTAAATGATGGGATGTCAAGTCAAACATACTATACCCTTGCTTATATATATATAATAATGGACAAAATAATTTCCATATTGTAATGACAATTCTCCTCAAAGAGAAGACAGATAGATTACCTGAACAACAGCCTTTTCTCCATCAACTTCCAAGACTTGACCACGCCTAGTTGATCCATCTCCTAAACGGATATTCACAATTTCTTGATACTTTGGTCCCTGTAAATATAGAAACAGAAATGCAACTATCACTTAATCACATGGCTTACCCGTATAAACATTCTCATATTGGGTTAATAATCACAATTTCAACTGAAATTTTAATAATATAAAGAGAATAATAATGAGTATAAAAAAAAAAGATACACAGAAACCAACCTTCACTTTATCAAGGATGACCAGAGGTCCAGCAACTCCAGAGACAGTTCTATATTCTGTAGAAACATTAGAAAGTTGAGACATCATCTAAGGCATATAATAATAATTGTACTTAAAGAAAAGCCAGGTATGTTGCCATAATAATGCAAGCTTACCCATTCCAATCTCAAGTGTTGCCTCCTCCATGCCATTACTTTTTTGTGCAACTCCCATATTCAACTAAGAAACATAAAAACATGCAAAGAGATTACTTCAAAGAAAACGTGTAAGATTGGGCACTTGACAAGGTTCAGTTAAAGGTACTAGACTACAATAACTATGCATAGATTTTGCGCCACACCATTTTTAGTCTAAAATACGGGTTTAACTTTAACTGCCCGAGGAACATAAATTAGGCGATTTGCAGATTGACTGATCAATCAAAGAAACAAAAAGTGAAAACTGATTTCAGAGAGAGAACAAGACCATGAGAGTGACTTTTATATACGATGATTCGATGATTTAGATTTACATCGACAGTTTGATCTAATTTTTGGAATACGACACTAAACACTGATTGATTGATCCGATCATAGAAAAATCAAGATTAAAACACGGAGACCTAAATTTTGATTATTCACAATCAATAAACGGAATTCAAATAATAAAATACATAAACCCAACAGAGATCAAATGATTAGATGGATCTGGATGCCACTACGGATTGATAGAATGCAATATAACAATATTATGACGAGGAACAATAAAAAAGAAAATCGCAGCAGTAAGTTTACTTGTTGTTTCTTCGGTAGTTCACCTTGTTAGATCCGATGGGGGTTTGATTGTTTCTGTGCTTTAGATCAAAGAGAGATTCATGTGACTGGGAGGGAGCACGTCTGTCTGAAATCTTGAATAGATAATAAAAATGTTTTCGTCGTGTTGAAAACAATCACGCTACACGAAATAGTAAGTTACAAAAATGACCATATTTTGTTTAGAATAAATATATTTGACCTATTATTTTTAGTTTTTTACATTTTACCGAAATAAAATAACCATCGACTCGTGAACAAGCTATTCCGGATTTCATGTGTTTATTTTTCCACCAAATATTTATTAAAAACTCTTTATATCTATTTTTGAAATACAAAATTATATAAATGGTCCTTATGATTTAGCAAAAGTTACAAAGTTAGTCTATTTTAATTTTTTTATGCAATTGGTCCATATGCTTTTCAAATCTTACATGAATAATCCTTTAGCCACATTGACATTTTAATTTCTTTTATTTTTTTTTAAAAACCAGTTATTAAAAGACAAATAAATAAAAGACACCCACCCTATTCCTTTCGTCCGTTTACTCTCTTCTTTTTTACATCTCATTCGGTTCCAACACCACTAAATCCAACACCACTAAAATCCCTAAACACTTCTTCCTCCCCTTTTACATCTTTAGCTCCTCATCACAATTATTATTTCTCATTGTGTCATCATCGGTGATTACATCATCTGATATCCGAGGGAAACATATCTTTTTCGTACCTATAATAGCAATCTACTTATATTTTTTATTGATAATGAGAGTGCACTTTATTTTTACCTATAATGAAAAATATGTCAAAATATAATGTTACATTTTCACTTAAAAAGTAGTTTATTTATTTTATCGTACATATAAATACAATTGTTTAAAAAAAAAGTCTCAAACAATATACTCTTTTCATGGATGTTTGGTTCCATTATGTATAAAAAGTTTTACATTTGGTCCAAATGTTTAATAAAATTCCTATTGGGGGTTGTTTTAGTCAAAGGAAATATGCCTTGAGCTTTTACATGATTACGGTTTACTCGGATGCAAACCATAACACTCCTCTACATTTATATAGTGTTATTAGTAATGAGGGTGTTGATAATAAAGATGATTTACCGACTAATTTTATTGGTTATCAATAACTTAACTTATAGGAAAATTAATTTAGTTAACAAATACAAGACATGATTTGTCTTTTACAGTATAAACTTTGAATCAATTTATGCATGCACCAAGGAAGTCTCATATGAGACTTATAATTAGGGTTTTGAGATACTTAAACACAGTGTCATAGTAAAGGTATAACTATAAACAACTCTGAATCAGTTCAGTTAATTGCCTATGCTGATGCTGATTGGGGAATGCGTGTTAGTACCAGACGTTCTCTATAACATGTTTTTTGTTTATTTCTTGGTAATTCTCTTGTATTTTGGAGAAGCAAGAAACAAGCAAATGTATCTCGATCCTCTACCGAGGTTGGGTATAAAGGGTTTGCTTTTGTAACCTGTGAAATCTTGTGGTTTATAAATTGTTTAAGGGATTTGAAGATTAAATGTAAATTTCCTATTGAAATAATGTGTGATAATAAATCAGCTATTCAATTGAATCTAAACCTACTGTTTCATGAAAGGACCAAGCACATTAAGATGGATGTGTCTTTGGTTAGAGAAAAAGTATTGGATGGAATTTGTTGTTATTTGATCCCTTCTAGAGTTGAGATTAAGGGAGGGGATTAAAAGCCTCATGAGAAAGTTCAACACTTATCATCTAACCTAATTTTATTATTAAGTTCAACTAATAAAATACTTTAGTTGTTTTATTGTTTAAAATGGTTTGATAAAATTGTTATATTAAAACTATAGGAAATTTGAGTGTTTATGGGGTAAGAGTATTGGGCTAAGATAATGATGGATTGATGTGGTGGGGACTGAAGCTGTAAATGTTATCAAGATGTGGAATGCAACTCATTCTTCCAAACTTTGTAAAGTAAAAGTGTGGAGCTTTTGTACCCGACACATCATTCGGGTTTACCCGACATATATAATCCTATTTATTTGCAGAAGCGGACATTATACATATCTTGTAATTCTAGCTACTTTCTCTCCATATCTCTCTCTCTCTCTCTCTCTCTCTCTCAAGCATTAATAGTTTTTAGTGTTTTTTTCGTTTTTTTATTCAGAGCAATAATGCACCATTACATGTTGTAATCTTGAAATGTATCTAGTTTACTTATTATTTTTCAATAGTGTATGTTGACAGAAGTTTGTTATTCAAAACTTATTAATTTTATGTTGGTTTTTTAGTAAATTGTTATAACCCCAGTCAGCGGTGAAAACACCGGGTTGTGTGGCTTATTCATTGATCACAGTTATTGAACATACATTGAACAGTACAAAAATGACAACATAAAGAAAATACATACTTCTATTAATACTGAAATAGAAATTACATTGATTATGTTCTAATAGTACATCATTACATAATAAACAAAAGTGTGGTACATGCCTTAATAGACATGAAACAAATACATAAAGGGTGGAACTGTGATTAATAACAAAGATCCTCATACGAAACCATGTGTGTGTGTGGCATTCCTGCTTCTTATGTTCCTGAAAATACATACGTTTTGAAAATACGTCAACATAAAGTTGGTGAGCTCACTGTTTTGACTATGTGTACTTTTATAACAACAGTATATATATATATATATATATATATATATATATATATATATATATGACATTTCTAATGAAAATCGGGCAATATAGCTGTAACATCCATAAAAATCATGAACAATTCAAACTTTTAAAAACCAATCCACAGTCATCATTGTTTACAAACTAGTTTTCAAAACATTTTTAGTATCAGAGTTTTCCCAAAATCATAAATCAAAACACGAGGAGGTGCACGACCACGCCTTCGCCTTTCCACTATCATCTGAGGTACCTGAAACATAACCCAAAACTGTAAGCCCAAAGCTTAGTGAGGTCCCCCAAAGTACCAACACACAACAAATAACACATACAATAATAGCATACTATGGGCCCAATCAACCATCGGGTTGGAATACCCCAGGCCCCTTAACCATCGGGTTGGAATGCCAGCATACTATAGGTCCAATCAACCATCGGGTTTGGAATACCCTAGGCCCTCAACCATCGGGTTGGAATGCCAACATACTATGAGTCCAATCATCCTCGGGATAGAATACCCTTGGGCCCATTCAACCATCAGGTTGGTATGCCCCGGTCTGTTGGCTTACGCACGAAGTAGTGAAGCCTCAGCCACCAACCAAACATGTGCACATATAACAGATAATTATATAACAGTCTACAGCCAGTCATATAGATCTACATATCCCTAAGCATAATATCATCCTGTATACCAGGATACCAATCTAACAGATCACTATAGTACAATAACATGCATAACAGGATATCAACCCAGTGGGCCGACATTGGTGCCTTCGACCCGCATGTACAGTGAGGAAAACTCACCTCACAAACTGAACAGAAGGCAAAGATCCCAGATCCACAAGCTTGCTTCCACTTCAAGGCTCCTGAATGCAACTTATTCATCCTTCAACACACCAAGAACACACTTTTGAGCTCAAAACACACACTAAGGGGGCTAGGGTTTGCAAAAACGTCTCAAAAGATGTGGAGGCTGAAAAGGTGGAGAGAAATGAGCCATAATGTTGCTTAAATACCACCCAAACCCTAAAAATTAGGGTTTCCTCCTGATGCTAGTACGCCCCACGTACATAAGTGTACGCCCAGCGTACTTGGGCGCGCCCTAGTACGCTCCGTGTACACACATGTACGCATGGCATACTCTCCTGCCATATTTATGAAATTGCCACTAGGGCTTCAAAGCATAACCTCTTGGACTTAGGGCCCAATTCAACATGAAATAGAAATATAGGGATAAATTTAGAAGTACCTGAACATCGGGATGTTACAATTCTCCACCACTTAAACTACACTTCGTCCTCGAAGTCTGCTGCAGTGAAAAAATTTGGATAATGCTCCCGCATCTCAGCCTCTGGCTCCCAGCTCACTCGGAGCCCCTACGGTGCTGCCACCATACCTTTACCAAATGTACTTCCTTGTTACGCAAAACCTTCATCTTCCTTTCTAGGATAGCTACCGGCCTCTCAACATAGTTCAGGCGCTCATCGACTTGAATATCATCCAAGGAAACCACTGCATCTTCATCCAATACGTACTTTCGCAACTGCGAAGCATGGAAAGTGTTGTGAATCTGACTGAGCTCCTCAAGAAGATCCAATTTGTAAGCAACCTTGCCAACCCTGGAAATAACCTGAAAAGGCCCAATATACTGGGGGCCCAACTTCCCCCTCTTCCAAAAGCGTAGAGACCTTCAATTATACCATTTCGCCGACTTGAAATTCCAACTCGGATCGATGCCGATCGACATAGCTCTTCTGCCGACTCTAAGAAGTTTGCAGTCTCTGCCTGATCTGTTGAATTAGCTTTGTGGTCTGAAGGACCACTTTGGTCCACCCCATAAGCCTGTGACCAACCTCGCCCCAACAAACCAGGGTACGACATCTCCGCCCATACAAAAGCTCGAAAGGCGGCGCACCAATGCTGGAGTGATAACTGTTGTTGTAGGAAAAATCCGCAAGAGGTAGGTAGGAGTCCCAACTCCCATCGAAATCAATAAAACAAGCCCACAACATATCCTCAAGGGTTTGTATCCTCCGCTCACTTTGGCCGTCAGTCTGTGGATGATAAGCAGTGCTGAAGTGCAACCTTGTGCCCAGTTCCTCATGGAACTTCTGCCAGAGACGCGAGGTGAACCGAACATCACGGTCTGAAATAATGGAGACCAGAACCCCATGGAGAGCAATGATCTCGTGAACATACACATCTGCCAACTTCTCGGCCGAAGAACTCTCCCGAATCGCCAGAAAGTGGCACTCTTAGTCAATCGATCCACGATGAACCATATAACATCAAAACCCTTTGCCGTCTTCAGGAACTTGGTGATAAAATCCATCGATATTTGCTCCCATTTCGACATGGGAACCTCCAGAGGCTGCATCTTGCCATGTGGCCTCTAATGCTTAGCCTTGACCATCCTGCATGTCAAGCATCTCTCCACATACCAAGCTATTTCCCTCTTCATACATGGCCACCAATAGCTCAATCTCAAATATTGACACATATTGGTGGCCCCTGAATGAATAGAAAAACGAGACTTATGAGCCTCCTTTAATACAACCCGCCTGATCACACCATAAACTAGAACCT